TATGGTATATTGATTTGCATTGAACCAACCCTGCATTCCTGGGAACTAGGTGGAGCATTACCCTGAGTGTGGCACCACCTGGACCTTTCCTCTGGTTAAGAGGCATTCAGAGCCTCTGGACCACATAGTTAGCCCTAGTATATGGTGCCAGGGCCTTGCTCCTGACTGGGCATAGTTCAGAACCTCCAGAATCTGCCAAGTGACCAGCTGGGCCTCACTGCTGAACTATGGAGCTGGGCCTTGTGCTCTGATGGGTGGAGCTCAAATTCTTCAAGACCCATCATAGGTCCCTGGTGGGCAGCTCTGGGGCTCTGGGCTAGGCTGGGCTTGGTACCTCTTTGACCAGTGAAATTGGCCAGGCATTCCCATGATGGATTGTACTGGGTTGCTGAACTGGGCAGAGTTCAGATGTTCTGCGCAGCTAGCAAGGACACACCTGTGGAGTGCAGTGCTGGGGCCTTACGCCTGGCTGTGTGGAGTTCAGAACTACCAGGACCCAGGTGACAAGGTAGAGTGTGATCCCAAGCGTGGCACCACCTGGAACCTTGCCTCTGGCTTGGCTCAGTAAGTGTTCTATTCCTTTTTCCTTCTCTCATCTTCCTGGCCTTCATAAAGTTATTGTTTCTTTGTCTAATGATGTTTGATGAACTTGAAGGCTTCCTTATTTCTTTTCATTTTTTAATTTGACTGAATTATTTCAAAAGACCTGCCTTGAAGTTCATTCTTTCTTCTACCCCCTAATCCTCCTCTTGAGGTTCTGCACTATATTTTTATTTCATTTACTGAAGATTTTGACTCTAAGATTTCTGATTCCTTTTCATGAGCTCTCTTCTGAATTTTTATTCATACCATGAACTATTTTGCTCATTTCACTGAGCTCTCTTGTCTATATTCTCTTGCATCTTAAGTTTCCTTAAAATCATCCTTCTATATTATTTTTCAGGCCAGTTGGCCATTTCTTTTTCTTTGGTGTATTTTGCTAGAAAGTTGCTGTGTTGCCATGAGGGCATCATTTTGACTTTTTTTTTCACATTGCTTGGCCTCTCCCTGTAGTTACCTGTTGGTCAGTTGCCTCTACCACTTTATAGGGTGGCTTTCATAGTAAAAGACTTTTACTATGCTGGCATTGACCCTAAGGTATGATCTTGGATACTGTGCATTGGTTTTGGTTCCAATAGCAACTGCAGTGTATTTTCTGGGCAGCTTTATCACCTGTGAACTGTGCTGGCAATTTCTGAGTGTTTAAGTGGCCAAGACTGCAGAGAGTACCAAACTGCACTGCCAGCTCTAGTGTAGCTCCCAGGCAGGGTAGCGTTGTTGGCAACTCTGACCACAGTACATTTGCCTGGAGGTTGAGCATGAGCTTCCACAGATCACCAGGGTGCACCAAGTACATATGGAATATCATGTTCAATCGTGGTCAGTGCCTGTCAGTGGCTGAGGCCCACATGGGAACCCAGACAGGATACCTGTCAGTGTCAGAAGGCTGCACAAGTGACATCACAGAGCCTCTATAGGTCCACTTGCTCAAGGAGGTCTTCCATGCTTTCCATGGGCAGTTTTAACTGTCCCCATTTCTTTAAAAATGGTTTTAATGTCCCAACACTAATTAAGTGCCTTTGTTACATATTTCTGCAATAAGCACCTATTTTTGCCCATGATCTTGAAGATATTCTTGATACTGATATCTTTCACCTATAAAATGGAGACACTAGTCTTGAAGTATTGTCTTAAGGAACCAAGCATCTGAATCTCAGAGCCTGGTCTTCTGGGAATGGTCCTTTCAACTGCTTGAGGGCCACAGGAAAATGGGCAGAGCTGCTTGGTTTTTTCTCAGGGGTCTTGGGCGGTCAAACCACCAAGGAAAGTCTGATTAGGAGTTTCACAAATGATCATAAGTTGTCAGTGTGTATGACTGTCCATATGCCTCCCTGGGCTCCTGTGAGTTAAACTATTCAGGGTGGACTTCCTGGCTACTCTCCATGGGTGAGAGGTGTAAGCAGGGCTATGCAGCTTTTTCTGGAACAACAGAACTGCAGAAAGGTTCTAGTGGACTATTTCTAGGGCTAAGAGTGAGTGGACAGGGCCTCCTGCCTGCTTCCAGGCAAACAAGATGTTTGGGAACACCCAAATGTCTTATTGGGGGGGGGGGGTGTTCTTCATCCCAAGTATCTCAGTGTGGACTAGCTGCATGCTTGCTGGGGCTGTGTGGGCAGGACACGTGGATGGGATGTGATGATGGCTAAATGAGACACTTGACAACACACTGGGCTGGCATGCTCACAAGTTGGTGATGCAGTGAGAGCCTGTGCTGGGAGCAGCACATCGTGGGGCCAGGTTCTCTCTCCAGGACAACATAGCAGTGTAGATACAGCTCCACAGACTGAGCTAAGGCTGCAAGGGCCAAAGGCTTCTCCAGTAGTAAATGCCTAGATGTCTGGCAAGAAAGGCGAGTGCCAGAACCTCCTGCTCAGACTGTTTCCTGAGAAAAGTCTATCTTGGTTCAGGGAAAAGACAACAGAGACTGTGTGCTTAGTTACCTTCTGTGCAACACCCTGTGTATACCTGTTAAAAGCAAGTGAGTTAGATAGAAGAAATATTCTAGGCAGTCAGACAGACAGGGCGGTGCCCTCAAAGGGGCCAGTGCAGAAGGCCCTGCAGCTGTGGGGGAGACAGACACCTCCACTGTGGGCCAGACCTCAAGAAAAAGATAAATCAAATGTACATACATACTTCCCAAGGATAAACACCAGGAATGGATATTCTAAATAGGTCTCTATCACCCTGCAGAAGTCAAGAGTCACCATCCCACCTCCCTACAAGAACTAGAGGGCAGGTTTCACTGGGACAGACTGGCTCTGATCCTCCTCTACAGTCTAGAGGAAATGTCAAGCCTGTTCTGCTTCAGTTTCCTTTCTTTGGCTTTACTTCTAATCTTTTCCCTCACTTTGTACTTTCCTTTTTAGAGGCATGTAAAATTAGAAAGAACTCTAGACTGTTCCAACCTTTTCCGCCTACTAAGTCAAAGCCATAGAAAATGAGCATTTGCTAACACTGAAGACAGGGAAGTCATCTCAGATGAGGGACACATACCCCATCTCTGGGCCAGATGAGACACTGGAATTTTGCCCAGAAGACACACACAAAAGCTTTGTCCTGGCTTAGTGTTTTGAGCAGGTCTCCTTCAGGTGCCTGAACCTGTGACACAATAGAAAGAACTGATTTTTGCATGAAACCAGAAGGAGCTGTTTCCAAATGCAGGGCACTTACAGACCAAAACATTTACAGACCAAAATTTAGACTAAGGGATGCTTTCCAAAGCTGGCTTTCTTTCTGGAGACTGACCTCGGTTATCTGGGCCAATAGAAACTGAGAACAACTAAGGATTCATGGCAGGAGAGACTTTCTGGTGGATACCCAAGACTACGAGTGGAAATTGGCACATGGCCATAGGAAATCTCCACTTGCCTATCTGTTTATGTCTCTCTGCTAGTAAGCAAAAGATGTTCCTCAAACTTTTCAGGCAAAACCTCTCCTCTCAAGTTAGGCAGAGGCAGCCCACAACAACTGTTTACATTTCAAAGAAACTAGTACAGAGTGATTTGCATTTGTGCCTTACATATGCTAAGGGGAAAAAAAGCAAGAGATTTTAGTCATCCTTTTTTGTGTGCATAAAAGACTGATGTGCCTTCACTAACATGTAAAATACAATTGATAGATGATAAATATGTTTAATCTGTGAGCTTCAAATAAACCATAACCATGTCCCACTGCTAGGAAAAATTGCCTAGGTAATTAAATAGAGAACTCAAATGCCTTGAAGACTTTGCCTGAAGGCCCAGGATGGAGTTCGTCAAATTTGTTTTATCTATTTCCAAAGGGAGTCTCCCTCATAGAACAGCCGGAGAAGTGCTCTCACTCACCCATTTTACAATAAACAAAAAGCAATAGTTTATTATAAAGTTATGCTTCCTTCTTTAAGCATTCCTGTCACAATTTGGCTTATAGAAACAAAATTCATGAGCTACCTGGGAAGATAAGATTGTGCACCAGTTTGAGGGTGGCTAAGCTGGCCGAATTTTAGCTTCTACTCTCTCCAGAAGGCATCCACCTGCCCTGGAGTGGAATCAACCTGAGGGATACCTTAAGGGACAGAAATAAGAAAGGGATGCCTATTATTTCTTTCTGCATAGATAGCTGGCTCAATGTCAAAGCCTCATACCCTTATGTGTTATTTTTTGTGTTACAGATATGGGCAGCTCAATGCCAAAGCCCCTTACTCCTTTGGAGTGCATTCCTAAGCACTGGAAGATGTTTGACCCTTAAATGTTGAAAAAGAACCATTTGATATTTCTCTACATGTGTGTGTGGCCTACCTACCCCCTAGAATAAAATGGAATGGAGAGGGAAGTATTAATTATGATATTCTTTAACAAATAAAGTCATGCTATAAGCAAAAGTGCTCTAACTTTTTAACATTTAAAAATAATTCCTATTTATACTCAAGGTATAATTATAATCCTTATGAGACTATCCCCACTCGTGGGTCTCTTTCTCTCAGTGACTTGAAACAAATTAAGCCAGAAATAGGAAAATTTTCAAATGACCCTGATAAGTACATTGATGACTTTAGAGGATTTACTCAGACCTATAAACTAGACTAGAAAGATGTAATGCTAATCTTAAATCAAACCTTGACTTTATTTTAGACAGCCAAAAGATTGACAGCCAGGGGAAACACCCATTCTTCCTGAAGTACAAGCAGTTCCCACCCAAGATCCCTAACTGGCCTGACAGCAAGACAGGAGACTGGAACAGGAAACATTTTCAAGTGTGTATTTTTGAAGGTCTAAGAAGTACAAAAGCCAAGCCGTCTGGTTATTTTATGTTGTCTGCTATTTTTCAGGAGACAGATGAAATCGTCTCTGACTTCTTAGCTTGTCTACTAAAGACACTAATAAAATATACTTCCCCAGATCCTGAGTCAATAGAGGGACAGATTTCACTTAAAGATGTGTTTATTACCCATCAACCCCAGACATTAGGAAAAGTCACAGAAATTTCACTTGATATTTCAGTAAAAATTGCCTTCTTAGTATTCTGTAATTGGGACTGTGAGAAAGCCAGAGAGAGAAAACCAAGAGACCAAATAGTAGCTGCTTAAAAGAAACAGACCTTAAATCTGACTCTTGGGTCCATTATAATATAGAAACATTCCAGGGATAAGGGAAGGGGATCCTTACAGGATAAGCACAACTAAGGGCATTACCATCATATAGAAATATTGGGGTGAGCCCTACAGAATGAGCATAGTTAAGGTATAATCATAATAAAGGGACATTCTGGGGAGGGGCCCGGAATTAGCCCAGGGTGCCTGAAGGTATAGACTATTACTTTGACTCAGTACTTATCATAGGTGTGCAGCTGTTGTAGACACCATCAAGGTCAATAGAATTTAGCAGAAACAGCAGAAACAGTAACTTGGTGAGAGGCCTCTAATTAATCATAAAATATCTCTAAGTTTGCCATCTCATAAATGTGTTCCTACATTATAATTGTACCCTAACATACTCAGTGAGCCTTAAATGTCACCACATCTGGTCTCTCTTTCCTCAATGAAAAAAGTAAAATTAAAGAGACAAGCCACACTCCAAAATCAAATGGCCAGACATTCTAACAGCACAGGAGACACTTGTACAGTTGTAAAACCTAAATGTTGTGGGTACATTCCTAATCCTTCTGCTAATATCTCAATAGCTGTTCAAGATATTAGATGACAAATCAATTATATGTCAAACTCTAAAATTTCCTGGACTTTATCCTTATCCTCCCTATGAGAAGCCATTACTAGTTCCTCTTGATGGAAATTTTTGTTAACTGTACTCATACATATCCTAATAATTATATTTGGACCCAGTATATTTAATTGTTTCTTTGCCTTTGTCTTCTCCAGACTTCAAGCTGTATGCTTACCCAAGACAAAAATGCCTGGTGTGTATTGCGGGTCTCTAGATAGATCCTATACAGAGTATCCTTGGCTGCCTATCAACAACTACAACCCCTCGTGGCAATTTGAGTTACTTCTTCAGAGGGTGCATTACTACAGGCAAGGGAGTTAGAAATATTCTAGGCAGTCCGACAGGGCTGGGCCCTCCAAGGAACCAGTGCACAAGACCAGATACCTTGCAACTGTAAGGGAGACAGACACCTCCACTGTGGGCCAGACCTCAAGAGAAAGATAAATCAAATGTATCCACTTATTTCCTAAGGATAGGCATCAGGAAATGATATTCTAAATAGGTCTCTATCCCTCTGGGGAAGCCAGGAGTCACCATCCCAACCAGCTTCAGGAAGTCACTGTCCTATATTCATGCCAGCTTGCTATGACTCACTTTTCCATTTGATTCTGATTTAATCAATTTCACCTGAGCAGTTACACGCATCCTCTTTAGTTTGACCATAGGCTTGTCCCTCCTCATACCCACTTTAAGGGTTCTCATGTTTCCCCACCTTAGACCGCCTCACTTTTTGGTTTTACTCTAAAAGTCCCTTAGAAAAGACAGTCTTTGGCAACCCACTCAGGACCACTTCTGTCTGTCTGTCTTAGACAGAAGCTTTCTTTCTCTCAATAAATACACTCTGCTTTTAAACCACTGTTCCTAAAATCCATTCTTATATTTTATATAACATGAACTCACACCAGACCTCTATTAGGCCGCCAGTTTCATCCCCCTCTGCCATATCCACGGTGTGTAGCCCCTCTGTTATATTTCACTGCACTCCCTTGTTCTGTCTCAAAGCTGCACATGATTCAGCTGCTGGTGTGTGTTGCTGTCCTTTTAGTAGAGACGGGTGGCTTCTACACAGGGAAAAGACAGATTTTATTAAAGTTAATAGGAGAACTTACTAAAAGCACCTCTACCTCTGTAGGTAGACTCCAAAGTTAAAATAATTATAAAATTAAGTATTCCATATACCAAAGTAAAGGCATCTCCCATATGATATTGTAGGACTGCACATGGTTTTCCTTTATATGTAAAAAGGATCTTATTTACAAAAGCCACGAATCTGGCTTGAAGCAGATCTGCTTGTTTTCTTGTAGTTTCACAGTCTTTCCATTCTGGTGTAACCCCACAGCCAAACAGCTTACTTATCCTTCACACAAATGTGGCTGGTTCTTCCAGTGCTCACATGGAGAGACGGAGAGAACATTCTTACCCTGCTCACATAGTAGGCATAAGGCTGATTACACTGATGAAGAAAAATATAACTTCTGTGCTCTTGTTTGGATTGTCTTAATTACCCAATGAATCAACCTTAATGTGGAAAACAACTTTGTGTATAATCAATTGCAAAAGAAGTTTTATATTTAATACTGCATCATTCAATTCCCAACCACGGATTTGTAATGTAACTGATCCAAGTCTAAATGGCAAAAAATTCTGTGACTCCCTTCCATGACTAATCCTGCCTCTGAAATAGATATAGAATTAAAACTATGATTTTAGCAGATCAAAATTACATTTAGTGAAATTTAATAATTTTATACCCATCCATGTTTAATTTTGAATATTTTAATTTGGATATAATATCAAATAAGCTTCTTTTCAGACACAGAGACCTTCATATTGTTCATATTGTCAGCTCAATAGCCATTAGTCAGGTCCATTACTGTTCTTCCCAAAATCAACCTTTTTCCTCTTTAACCTGTACTTACTTCCCTTCTTAGGTTAAGAAATATTTTGTACTAAAGAAAAAATATATCTACTACATCCTTTAAAAGAGCTTTTGTTGGAGTTGTGGCCACTGTTAGCCATTAAATTTAACCTCCTCTTCAGTCATTCATTAGCAGAGGGTTTAGAAACCCAGTTATAATCTTCACCAACTCACCAGGAGTCCAGCTGCAAATCCATGGCTAGAGAGAAGACACATAGGCCAGGCTTCCTTTCACTTCTTTCTTGGCTTCCTGTCTGACATTTGCCTTCTCTGAAATTCTGAGAAAGAGAAATTCCATACTAGAAAGCAATAAAACCGCTTTTCCTAGGCCAAATATGACAGTAACCCTCCACACTTCAAAACCCTTCAGGCTTTCCCTCAAGGCTTCCAAGGCCTTAGACACGAGAGGCCACAGCAGTGAGAAAGGACTTTGTTGATCTGCGTAGACAAGGATGAGCCAGGAACAGGTATTTCTGCTTTCCAAAAGGAAATACCCACACGTTCTACATCACAGCTTTCGTATTCATTAGGAAAAGCTCTAGTGTTACACTTTACAATTTGGTGATAGATTATCCTTCAGATTCAAGGAATTCCAATCCTTCATCTTAACTACGTGTTTACTTTGTTATATTTTATCGCTCATTATAGACTCAAATGTCTTCCCTAGCAGGGATTTAGACCATCGTCAAGTAGATAGATAGTAATTTTATAAGGAGCACTTAAGAAAGACTCTTTGCAAATATAGGGGATATGGTGGGTGGGAACATATGCAGAGAAAAGCAACCTCCCCCAAACACAGCCTCAGGGACCCTGGCTGTGGCTTCCCAGCATCAGTGCCCCAACTGTCCCATGGTCTCAGTCTGAATGAGGAAAGCAGGCCTTCTCCTTCCCTATCCTTGACCAACTCATCCTGGAATGAGCTACCCAGACAATCCAGGGTCCTATATCCATTTGGACAAGTTGCTGGGATTTAGAGTGTTGGGGGGTAGCATCTACCAGACTTCCTTATTCATTTTTCAAGCCAAACAAAAGATAGTACATTCTTCAGACAATGACCATTATTAGAGTATACAAATGTCCAGTGGTTTCCCTAAATGAGGGGCTCAAGAAGACAGAACTAGAGAATATGGTTGAGATCATAATAGGACCTTTCTCGCTTAGCCTTTAACCTAATTTTTCCAGTTGTGTGCTGGAAATTAAAGTGCAATGGAAGAAAATATAGCATTAAACTAAGACTATCCAGAGCTACAGACTGAACAGATCCTAAGAAGAGCCACAGGTGAACAGCAAGGGCTGCCAGCTCAACATCGGGCCGTGACTGGGATGTGATGTTTTGGTGGATGAGATCCAGTAGGTGTCTGTCAGAGAGTACACATCTATTAAGGAGCTAAGTGTTTAATATGATAATGCTCAAAAATGCACGTGAGTAAGAATACACATACAAAATATGCACAAATGCAAAGGGTACAGCACCAGCAACTATAATTCAGTGTCTATTTTATAGCATAAGAATTTTTATATAACCAGACAGACACCATTATCACACTTGATAAAGTTTCTTAATATTATCCAATACTCCATCCATATTAAATCCTGAATTGAAGTAAAATGTTTTTATTTTGCATGGATAAAATGAAATTTGGTAGAGAAAAATTAGTTATAGTAATGCTGATTATAAATACTAAAAAACTATCAAAAATCCAGGCATTTTACTTGTTTAGCTGTAAACCACTAAGACAATTCACTGACTTTTTAGCATTCTTCCCCAATGAGGACACAGCACAACAATGAGGTTTGTCATTAAATCTGTACCACATTAGGACTGGAATCAAGGATTCAAGAATATGCTTGCAACTTCCAAAGAAATTGAGTTGACCTAAATAATCTGTGTTTACACTCAGGGAAGTACAGCTGACAACAAAAATACAAAAAGTATCTGGGCTACCTCAGACTCCTGACAACTTTCTCTCATTACCTTTGCAATGTTATTGCTCTTAGGTCAGAGGAAATTTCATCATAGTTACAGAAAATACAGTTCTGGGATCTCTGAGGAAGAATTCCTTTCATATGAAAATGCTGGGTCTTACAGGGCCACTTCTGTACACTGTCACTGTTTAATAACTCCACATCCTTCTCCTCCTACTCCCTAAGCCCACCTCAATTTGCAGGACTGCACATAGATGGGAGTTCAGAAGACTGTGATTCTATTCCAGGTGACCTTCAACAAATTACTTTTGTGACTCAGTTCGTCATTAGGGAAACACTGAGTTACATAAGAAGGTTTTGGATAATGTTCGTACACTGAGAGAACAGGAAGCTTGCACAAAGTGCTTTCTAAATCTAGAAATAAAAAAGAATAATTACTGGTTTAGATCTAAAATGTCCCTAAATGCCAGGTCTCGTTTGTTTATAGGTGGGGCCCTGGGGAAATGATTGGATCATGAGGATGTGATGCTCATTAGCAGGCCAATCTATTGATGAGGTCACAGCTGACTGGGAAATTAGGAGCTGGGGCTCTTTGGAGGAGGGAGATCACTGAGATCAGGACTGTGGTTTTTCTCTGGCTTTTTTCTGTTCTTTCTGCTTCCTGGCTATTATGAGGTGAGCAGCTTTCCTCTGCAGGGCCATTTCTGCCTTGGAGCCAGCTTACCATGGCCTGAAATCTCTAAAACCATGAGCCGAAACAGAGACCTTTTCTGCTTAAAGTTGTGTTTGTCAGGTATTTTTTAACAGTAACAGATGGGTGGTTAACACAAGCATGTACCTGTTTCAAAAGGAAAAAATTCTAAACAGAAGGCCAAGGGGAGCCCCGAGCACTCGAGTCTCCTTTCACTCTGGCAGTTGGTGTCTGCCACCGATGCAGCCCAGACCTTTGTTTTCATGGGTCTGGGCCTTCTGGGTTTTTTAACAATATCTGAATCCAAGGTCCCTTGTCTACCTCCTATACCTGCTCCAGGGATCAATACAACTGGTTTAGAACACTGAGAAAAACTAACCTATGAATTGGTGACCTCATCATATCTGGACAGCTTTCTTTTCAAGTTAATATTTCTGAAAAAGAGGACAGAATGTAAGAGGAGTGGGAAGAAGGAAGGAGAGAGGAAAGAGGTTACATCAGGAAATGGGCTCACACACCTCAGGTCTCTCAGTCCAGCTTCCCCAAAGCAAGGCAGCTATAACAGAAATATGATTCTGCTTAACAAAAGCCACGTGCATTTTGAAGCTCCCTAAATGCAAAGCTTCTGGGAGACTTAATTAAATTTAATGAAAACCATGGTTGCTAAACAAAGATGCTCCCACATAGTGGTTCCTGAGACAATGAAGTAGCAATGAAGAAGACCCACCTTATTTCTCACATTTAACCTCTGGATATTAACACTCAAAATCTGTAAACAGGATAATGCTCTCCTCTTTTCAGTGGCTAATAATATTGTCAAGTTGTTCGTCTATTCCTATAGGATAAAAGGTATAACCAGAAGGAAACAAAAGAGAAGAAAAGCACAGAAAAGTTACCCTGCATGTGACTGTCCATCCCTTGAGCCCTCAGCACACCCCTTCCTACCTCCAGTGGTATTTCTTTTGTTTTGGAAATAATTGTATATTATTTGCCATGCAATATAAATGCCCACGTAGTTTAGGTCAGAATGAACATGTAAATCAGCATCCAAATGAGTGGTCAGTATGCATCTATGATAACCTTAACCTAGCCTATTTTATGTATAAACAATGGCAATCCTCTTAATAGATTTTTGTGTGTATCTTTTTGAGACAGAGTTTCACTATGCAGTTCAGGCTGGCCTTGAACTCACTTTGTAGCCCAGGATTTGTAGCTCTCAAAATCACAGAGATCCTCCTGCCTCAGCCTCTTGAGTTCTGGAATTACAGGCACAGGCTACCACATCCAGCCTTCTTAATGATCTCAACAGGATGACAAAAATGCAATGAAGCGTGACACTCTAAGAGTAAGACGAGAAGATATAGGGGCCTAAGATGCCTTCACAGAGATGCATGAGACAAGACACAGATACAGATCTTAAATATTAATGTGCATCAGCATTCCATGGAGGGCTAAATTCCCAGGAGATACTGGTTCTACTGATTCGCCATCCATATTTTAAAAACCACTAGTCTAAGACATCGTACCTCAGAAGTTTAGAAAATAGATGCCATGTTTAGAAAGTTGTTCAGTATCCAACTCAAAAAGCAAAACATAATGTTGAGAAAATTCAGCCACCACTGGCAGAAAGTAGGTGGACAATGGCTGGCGAGTGGGGGCTCATCCTGGAAAAAGTAAACAGAGCTGGACAGGGTTCTGCTGGTCTGCTCCACCTACTCAAGGCAAACCTGGACCATTATCCTTCAGGAAACCAAGCAAAATGTTGCTGAAAATCCCCACAGGCTAAGGAATTCCCTGGACAGAAAGGCTGAGGGCGAGAAAAATGAGGGCCTCCTAGCCCAGGGAAGAATTAGACATTGTTCTTTTGACAACACAGTCATTTTCTTTTAGAAAAACCTGAACCAACTCTGCACAGCAGGACAGCCTTACTCTCTCCTGCCTTGTTAAACACAGACCAAAATTAACTGATTTTATCAGAAGACGTATTTTCATGCTATCATGAATTTTATACTATAACATCCAGCTTTCCTGAGACAATTCTTTCCCTGCCTCAGCAAAACAATTCATCACTAGAGGTAAGCGAAGGCTGTACAAATGCTCATCACACTCAGCAGGAATTCAGACATTCGCAGATGGACTCAATGTGTCCGATTTTAATGATTCTGAATTATCTTCCCTTGCCTAGTAAGCATCTGTGAAAATTAAGACTTGATTTACCTGTCACCCTTCTCTTCTATTTCTATGTAGAAAGTATATCTGCAGAGAGACACACAATTTCAACATAAAATGAAAATTCAGTATTTTAGTTGCAGCATTTAATATAAACCACACTTTTTCATATTTTGAAAGTTTATTTTCAAAAAGTCAAAACATAAAGCAATATGAATCCAAAACAAAAACAACACTAATAATTCACAATCCTAAGTGTATTTCTTGCCCAATGGTAGCTTTACTATATGAAAGTGTTTTCCTTAAGCTTCTTTGAAGCACTCTGTGATCCTTATTATAAAATCTTGCAAGTTATAATGGAATCATTACAAATTGTTTATAAACAATTCATTGGGAACAATTTATTCATTATAAATTCCAGTACACATATGCACCGATGTTTTAAATAGGAAGTCTGCCAAACCAACACGCACTGTGGAGCTAAGTGGGCTGGCTTGGACTCCTGCACCACTATAACCTGATGCTGAGACTTTGGAAAAATTTTCTGTTCTGAAAAAATGATGAAAGTTGCACATGATTCACAGTAATAAAATGTAAAGTACATGCGGCACCAGTACCATAGACAAAACAGCATTTCATAGTGATTTAAGCACAAAGATTGCATATGTTCAGAGATTCCAGATCTGCCACTTAGAAGCAACATGACTTTGGGAATGTCATGTAACAGTCATTTAAAACATGCATCCTCAGCTTTGCA